GGGGGGGGGGGGGGAGGTCTCCGTGCCATAAACAGAATTATGATTAAATGTTCTCATTTCTCTTAAAAAATAGCTCAAAAGCACCTCAACTAGTCTCCGTTCTACTGTCAGACACAGTTAGAGTCCTGACATGTCTTTGTTGGTGCATTTGGGTGATAGTGAAACCCGGGTCGCTCATGCGCTCCTTGCCCCCCAGGTCAGCTACTACTTCCCCCTGAAGACCTTGTGGCGGTCCTTCTTCGCGGCCCTGGTGGCGGCCTTCACGCTGCGCTCCATCAACCCCTTTGGGAACAGCCGCCTCGTTCTCTTCTACGTGGAATATCACACGCCCTGGTACATGGCCGAGCTCTTCCCCTTCATCCTGCTGGGCGTCTTCGGGGGCTTGTGGGGCACCCTCTTCATCCGCTGCAACATCGCCTGGTGCCGGAGGCGCAAAACCACCCGGCTGGGCAAGTACCCGGTGCTGGAGGTCATTGTGGTGACTGCCATCACCGCCATCATCGCCTACCCCAACCCCTACACGCGCCAGAGCACGAGCGAGCTCATTTCCGAGCTGTTCAATGACTGTGGGGCCCTCGAGTCCTCCCAGCTCTGCGACTACATCAACGACCCCAACATGACCCGGCCCGTGGATGACATTCCCGACAGGCCGGCCGGGCGTGGGGTGTACACGGCCATCTGGCAGCTGGCCCTGGCGCTGGTCTTCAAGATCGTCATCACCATCTTTACCTTCGGCATGAAGGTGAGTGAGGGGGGAGGAGGATGGGGGCCCCCGTGGCCTTCTGGGCTGACACCTGCTGGCCGCCATGGAATCGTGCTGGGAGGGAGGGGGGGGCCTGTATTGAATGTTGTCTTGTGCTGGGCCCTGGACCTTCTTTGAATCAACAAGAAACGATGCTTTTGAGAAACAGCCAGCCTCTCAAATAGCTGTTATTTATTTAAAAAAATATTGTATTGATTTTTTACAGAGAGGAAGGGAGAGGGATAGAAAGTTAGAAACATCGATCAGCCGCCTCTTGCACACCTCCTACTGGGGATGTGCCCGCAACCAAGGTACATGCCCTTGACCGGAATCGAACCCGGGACCTTTCAGTCCTCAGGCCGACGCTCTATCCACTGAGCCAAACCGGTCAGGGCTCAAATAGCTTTTAATCTCACTTCACAAGTGAAGAAGCCATGGCTCAGAGTATGTTGTTCATCCAGGGACATACAAAGCTCTGCGAACTTTCCTGAAACACACACTTGTGTAACCAGCACCCACGACCGCAAGCAGAACATTGAGAGTCCTCCCGAACACCCATTGGTTTCCATTACGATTACTTCTGTGTGCGATTTTTTAAAAATATATTTTTACTGATTTGAGAGAAGAAGGGAGAGGGAGAGAGCGATAGAAACATCAATGAGGGGAGAGAATCACCGATCAGCTGCCTCCTGCATGCCCCACACTGGGGATGGAGCCCACAACCTGGGCATGTGCCCTGACCTGGAGTCGAACCATGACCTCCTGGTTCATAGCTCGATGCTCAGCCACTGAGCCACGCCTACTGGTCTGTGTGTGATTTTTATGATTTATTTTTTTAAGTTGAAGAAACCATGTAGGGAGTTTATACTTGAGTGTGTAATGGTCAGGCACAAACCTGAATGTTTGCCCTGAGAACAAGGAGGGATGGACTCCATTAAACAGCTCACGGTCCGCTCCATCCGCTCCCAGCGAAGGGACTGAGCTTGTGTCTGCGGAAGGCCCTGGCCACCCCCTGGTGCCTGCGGGGACAGGTGACTTTGAAGCTCCAGGGGCGTCAGTGGCAGTGGGAGGAGGGGCAGCTCAGAAAGGAACCATTTCGCCCTAACCGGTTTAGCTCAGTGGGTAGAGCATCGGCCTGCGGACTGAAGGGTCCCAGGTTCGATTCCAGTCAAGGGCATGTACCTGGGTTGCGGGCACATCCCCAGTAGGGAGTGTGCAGGAGGCAGCTGATTGATGTTTCTCTCTCATTGATGTTTCTAATTCTCTCCCCTTCTTCCCTCCTCTCTGTAAAAAAATCAATAAAATATATTTTTTTAAAAAAGAAAGGAACCATTTCCTCAGGAATGTCCCACACTCGTGCAACCACACTCAAGGATCCGACTTAACCTGGACTCTGCTTAAAGAGCCCCTTCCGTCCTGAGACTGATCACAGTCCGGGTCGGCATAGATGCGGCTCCCGCTCAGGATCGCAGTCACGTGCAGTCTCCACCGCAGAACCCGGCGTGCTACCTGCTCACTAAGCAGTGACGGCGAACCTTTTGAGCTCGGCGTGTCAGCATTTTGAAAAACCCTAACTTAACTCTGGTGCCGTGTCACATAGAGACATTTTTTGATCTTTGCAACCATAGTAAACAAAGATTTATATTGTTGCTATTTATTTTATATATTTAAATGCCATTTAACAAAGAAAAATCAACCAAAAAAATGAGTTCGCGTGTCACCTCTGACACGCGTGTCATAGGTTCGCCATCACTGGCTAGAGAGATGAAATGTGTTTCACACCGAAGCAGGAGGCACGCTGTTACTGAGGCCTTTCAGTCCCGTAGCCTCTCTCTCTTTTTTTAAAATTTTGTTTTATTGTTTAAAGTATTACAAAGAGTATTACATATGTCTCCTTTTTCCCCCCTTGACCTTCCCCCAGCCTCCCCCCCCACAGTGTCTGTGCCCATTGGTTATGCTTATCTGCATGCATACAAGGGTAATATGCTAATTAGACTGGACATCCTCCTGGACGTCATTCCGGATATCTTTCTGGACGAAGTCAGGGCTGGAGTGAAGCCACCAGGGTCCCGGCTGCCTGCCGGCGGCTGAAGGAAAGCCAGCGCCGGCAGCC